AGCAGGCACCGGCTGGCTTCGTGGATGGGGGCTGGGGGCTGCCCCACTGCTGTCTGCCCATTCCACTGCTTCAGCCACAAGTGACCGCCTGGGAGAGAAGTGCTTGCCCGTGTACCACTCTCAGGAGTGCAGGTTCCTCCCGCTTCTTCACCATCCCACCTCCCCACCAGCCCCCACCACCCTGAACAAATACACATTCTCTCTCTCTCTCTCTCTCTCTCTCTCTCTCTCTCTCTCTCTCCTAGTTCTTCCTGGATCTGAACGCAGAGTGCCAGATGGAAGAAAGGAGGGACACTCTTTGAGTCCCGGCTCCAGGATCCCTGCCAAGCAGCTGGCCTCCCATCCCCTCTCCTACAGACCCTGACGTTGGGCACAGGCACCAAGCTGGGCCCCCTGGCTCCATGGCTTAGTTTCTCCTGTCCAGGCAACAGGGAGACCATGGCTCTGGATCCTGAGATCACCCTAGTTAGGCTACTGAGGGGAACATGGGAGAAAGCACGCCTTGGACCTCATCCAAGGGGGATTAGCTTCAGCCCTGCCAAAAGGATTTTCTCCTAAGTGGCCAGAGTTTGCCTTCCACACCCCCACCTCCTGTTCCCTGCTCCCTTAATCCCGTAATCCTGCCGCCTTGCCTGTGGACACCCCCTTACGGAGAAAGCAGCACGTCTCTATGGGGCTCCCAGCCAACTTGAGAGGATTTTGCAGATGAAAAAAACCAGAGGCTCAGAGAAATGAAGTAACCAGCCTAAGGCTGCACAGGTCAGGGCATCCTGCATGGGCCTGTCTCTCCCGCCTGTCAGCTCCTTGGTTTTCTCCCAGAGGAGTCATTAAGCAGTGTGGGGCCCAGATCCCTCCTGTGACAGAGGCTGCCATTGGCTGACAGCCAGGGGGTTATAACTCATTCCACCCTCACGATTTCATTCAAGATAAAAATGGATCTTTGCTCCACGGCGTGGACAAGAAAACCGAGGCATGGAGAAGGGAAACAACTTGCTCGGGGTCTCAGGGCTTGGTCACACAGCAGCAATAAGTGTCAGAGGCTGCTGTGTTTCTCCAAGAGAGGGACGGGCAGGTGTCTCCACAGAGTGGCAGCGAGTGTCCCAGAATGCCAGGGCAAGAAGACTCAAAGACGACAGACCCTATTCGGTGCACGGCTAGAGAAACTGAGGCCCAGAGAGGGGAAGGGACTTACTGACTACCCCACAGCTAATCAGAGGCAAAAATCTGCCCTGAGCCCTGGTGTCCAGGACTGGCAGGAGACATCTACAGTGGGGTCCACGTGGGGCTTGGAGCAGCCGCGTCTGCCCAGGCGCTGGCCGCACAGCCATGCCTACCTGCCCGTGAGCAGCTGGCTCCTTGAGGGCGTGCAGATGGGCTGGATGTAGTAATTCTCCAGCTTGACGCCCTCAGCTGCCAGACGGTCCAGCGTGGGGGTCTCGATGTCCGAGCCGTGGTAGCCCACATCGTGGTAGCCCTGGTCGTCAGTGAGGATGAAGATGATATGCGGAGGCTGGGGCGGCGCCACCGAGGGCTCCTG